GCTTCGCCTCGCCCGCCCGCACGGCACGCACGAACACGAAACCGAAATCGATTTCCCGGTAGGGGGGCTCTCCGTTCCACTTCGATCTCACCCCCTCACCTCCGAGATATATATATATATATATACATATACATATATATATATATATACACACACATACATTCACACACACACACACACACACACACACACACATATATTATATGTATATAATATATATATATATCTGACCACGCGCGCGCTTCGCGCGCGCTTAGGTTCTGTCGAGTCACAGACCCAGGAATCGTTGTGAGAAGAAATTGGTGACGCGAAGCGTCGTGGGGGCGTCCTTGGACGTCTGGGGTCTCCTGGGGCCTCTTGAGGGGCCTCCTGGGGGCCTCCTGGCGGCCTCTTGGGGCGGAAGGCTCGAGCTTGCGGTTCGTGGTCCCCCTCTGGGCCCCCTCTTGGGCCCGTCTTGGGGCCCTCTTGGGCCATCTTGGGCGCCTCTTGGGCCGTCTTGGGGCCCTCTTGGGCTGTCCTGGGGCCCTCTTGGAAGCTTCTTGGGCCGTCTTGGGGCGGTCTTGGGCGCCTCTTGGGCCGTCCTGTAACGTCGGAAAGCCCAAAAGGCGACTTTGTTGAAAATGTACGTTTTACGCATGGAATGGGCCAATTTTTGCGTCTAGGGGCCCTCTTGGGACGCATGTTGGCGGCTTCTTGGGGCCTCTTGGGGGCGTCCTTGGACGTCTGGGGTCTCCTGGGGCCTCTTGAGGGGCCTCCTGGGGGCCTCCTGGCGGCCTCTTGGGGCGGAAGGCTCGAGCTTGCGGTTCGTGGTCCCCCTCTGGGCCCCCTCTTGGGCCCGTCTTGGGGCCCTCTTGGGCCATCTTAGGCGCCTCTTGGGCCGTCTTGGGGCCCTCTTGGGCTGTCCTGGGGCCCTCTTGGAAGCTTCTTGGGCCGTTTTGGGGCGGTCTTGGGCGCCTCTTGGGCCGTCCTGTAACGTCGGAAAGCCCAAAAGACAACTTTGTTGAAACTGTACGTTTTATGGAGGGAATGGGCCAACTTTTGCGTCTAGGGGCCCTCTTGGGCCGCATGTTGGAGGCTTCTTGGGGCCTCTTGGGGGCGTCCTTGGACGTCTGGGGTCTCCTGGGGCCTCTTGAGGGGCCTCCTGGGGGCCTCCTGGCGGCCTCTTGGGGCGGAAGGCTCGAGCTTGCGGTTCGTGGTCCCCCTCTGGGCCCCCTCTTGGGCCCGTCTTGGGGCCCTCTTGGGCCATCTTGGGCGCCTCTTGGGCCGTCTTGGGGCCCTCTTGGGCTGTCCTGGGGCCCTCTTGGAAGCTTCTTGAGCCGTCTTGGGGCGGTCTTGGGCGCCTCTTGGGCCGTCCTGTAACGTCGGAAAGCCCAAAAGACAACTTTGTTGAACATGTACGTTTTACGAAGGGAATGGGCCAACTTTTGCGTCTAGGGGCCCTCTTGGGACGCATGTTGGAGGCTTCTTGGGGCCTCTTGGGGGCGTCCTTGGACGTCTGGGGTCTCCTGGGGCCTCTTGAGGGGCCTCCTGGGGGCCTCCTGGCGGCCTCTTGGGGCGGAAGGCTCGAGCTTGCGGTTCGTGGTCCCCTCTGGGCCCCCTCTTGGGCCCGTCTTGGGGCCCTCTTGGGCCATCTTGGGCGCCTCTTGGGCCGTCTTGGGGCCCTCTTGGGCTGTCCTGGGGGCTTCTTGGGCCGTCTTGGGGCGGTCTTGGGCGCCTCTTGGGCCGTCCTGTAACGTCGGAAAGCCCAAAAAGCAACTTTGTTGAAAAATGTACGTTTTACGAAGGGAATGGGCCAATTTTTGCGTCTAGGGGCCCTCTTGGGACGCATGTTGGAGGCTTCTTGGGGCCTCTTGGGGGCGTCCTTGGACGTCTGGAGGCCATCTTCAGCATCTCGGAGCCCTCTTGGAGGCCTCTTGGAAGTTTCTTGGGCCGTCTTGGGCGCTCCTGGGGCCGTCTTGTCTGACCGGGGAGGCCTCCGGCAAGCCCCGACGAGCCTCCGGGCCCCCCGGGGCGCACATTTGTGGTCGAGGTCCCGGCCCCGGGCCCCCGGACCCGGTGCGCCGTTATATGTACATATGTATATGTATAATCTATATGTATATATGTATATACAGTAGAACCACGCGCGCTACGCGCGCGCGTAGGTTCTGGTCGCAGACGAGCCACAGACGCCGCTGTAAGTCCCGTAAAGGCCACAACGACGATTTCCAGCGTTCTCGGGCCCATGCCATCGACACTAAGAAACGCGTTGTCAGAACGCGGGGCGCCGCTTTCCCGCGTATCTCGCAATCTCGCCGCCGCCTTTGTTTGGTTTATCGAACTGCGATTTTCTCCACTTTCACTTCCGCTCTGCCCCGTCGTGACACTCAATGTGTTTGCACATTTGTTCGGTTCCCCATGCCCGATCACGCAAACATCCGCCAGCTCCTCATGTTGGGGTTGGCTCGGGCTCATGCTGGCGGTAATCGCACCCGCGGGAGCAAAAGATTCGGGCTCACGA